ACATGCCAGGATCCACCCTGAGGAGCTTTCTGGGAACTTTCGTCGGCTTTGGGCGCCTGCACGGCTGGGACGAGCTCTCTGAAGCTTCGCCATCGTCTGGGACAGCCGCGCAGGCAGGGGCCAGCAGGTTCACCTCTTGAAGCCGTGCAAGCTCTATCTGAACATCCACTATTGCACAACTCATGATCCGAGTAGTCCCTTCAGGAGCTCCTGCAATTCGGCCAACTCCCTAACTCCACATTGGGCACACCAGTTTCCAGAAAGGCCCTGGCCAGCGGCTCCGCGTCCACCTCGGCCAGCGCCTGGTCCACGGTCCGGCGGAAGGCCTCCAAGACTTTCAAAAACTCTCTCTGACCAGTCTCCCTCCAAAACGGCGCTCTTGGCGATCGATTAGGGCCTGATTTTACTAAGTTAGGGCCCGCATCAGTACCATACGGCTACATATGGGAACCCATCACAGCCATCTGGGTTTTTGCATGCTTGAAACCTTGAGCCTCCGCCAGTGCTGCGGGAACATGTGTCACCGAGGAGCTGCCCGGGCTCCTGCCATTGACAAAGACACTCTCCTTGGCTTCTGTGCAACAGAGAAGACACGCACAATCAAGGATCTGGAAGCCAGTGCAAGAACTCTTTATCTGCTCCATTCGCCTCCGTGAGTGTGCATCTGTTTGGCAAGCGAGCAGCGCCTGGTAGACCTTCGTGACCCGCTTCCGCCCCTTCGCAGAGCTGATCTCCGCAATCGCCGCCATATAAGCCTTGCGCCCCAATGCGCCCCAGGCGAAGCAACGAAGATACTGAAAGCACATCCAACGGAGCACGAGCATAGGTTCCGCCATGTCCCTCCGAAGACCAGCCTGGAGCACCGCGGCACTCAGCGGTGCGGCGTAGCCAACGTGCCGGCGTCCATCAAGACACCCAGCACAAGGGCCTCGATGTCTCCGATCAGCCCCAAAATTCGGAGCATCGCATGCTATCGACGTCCCAGATGCCACAATTACTTTGACTGTATATGTGACTGTATATGTATAGGTGTATGTGTATGTGTATGCGTACGTATATGTATATGTATCCGCCGACCCCTGCTTTAGCGGGGGAGGCGTCAGTGAAGACCCATTTGCCCTCATGCCCAAACCCCCCCGCCCTCACCCCTTACCCTCGACCTCACCCTTACCCTCTTAGGGGCTCCAGTGCATGCCCCCCCACCTCCCCCTAACCTTTTACCGGAAATGAAGTGTTTTAGGGGCTCCAGTACATGCCCGGACCCCCCCCGCCCCCCCGCCCCCCCCCGCCCACCCCGCCCACCCCGCCCACCCCGCCCACCCCGCCCCCCCCCGCCTCCCCCCGTTTTCACCCCTTCACCTCTGCCCCCCAGGGTTTCGAGTTTAAGTGAGGTTTAGGGTTTAAGGTTGCGCGCCAACTCCCTGCGCGTGAAGACTCAATGTTTCGCCCCCCCTGAACTCTAGAACCTATGGATATATGTAAGCGCAATGTAGGGGGTGTTTGTGTCCCTTCCGAGCCTAAACCAAGCCCTGCGCCCTAAACCCTAGGGCCTCCTGTCGGGGTCGGCGGCATTGGCGGTAGCCATTAAATCGGGCAGCGCGAGGTCCCCAAAGGACCGAGCAAATGCGGACCTTTTAGCCCGGGTCGTCCCGGGAATAGCCTTGCTGGCCTCTGGCCTTCTGCGAAGCAGAATTAGGCCGGACGCCAGTGCCGCCGACCCCCGCGTGCCGCCGGTGAACGGTTTTTTTTTCGTGGTTTTTTGCGTCGCCACGGAGGCCCCCAGAGGGCGCGCATCATGAGCATCAGCGGGTCCAGCCCGGGACCCCCAGGCGCGCATCAGGAGCATCAGCGGCTCCCGGGGCGGGACCGCGGGGGGCATCAGGAGCATGATGCCCCCCAAAGGGCGGGCATAAGCGACGTGTCTAAGCCCGGGGCTAGGAAAAAGGGAGTTTAGGGGCCTTATAAAGTGCTTAGAAACGTTAAGGGAGTCTCGGAGCCTCAAACGCTTAGAGATTTGAAGGGAGTTAGGGGCCTGAAAATGCTTAGAAACTTAACGCTTAGAGATTTTAAGGGAGTTTAGGGGCCTCAACATGCTTAGAAACTGCTCGCCCCGGGCTTCTGCGTGCGCTGCCCGCCCATGGGCGCAGCCCCTTAAAATATGTATATACGTGTCTATATACCTGTATAATATAGACTGTTGCATACATGGCATCGGATGAAAAGCACAGAGGTGAGCGGGCCCACAGGCCAAGATTATCCAAGGCATCCCCCCAAGCCCAAAAGGTCGAAAAGAGGCCAGGAAAGTGATTCGCGAACTGAAAGCCAGGGTGGCAACAACAGAATCCTGATGCACAACAACGCCCATGGCTATCAACACTATCTTGGAATACGTGGTAAAGACTGCCTTTTGCACGATCTGTACCCCTATTGTTGTAGGCCGGACAAAGGTGTAGCAAACGGATTCATGCAGCCGGAAACCGCGGGCTCGTGCGACCCCACAAGGCGGACTTCGGGTTGAGTGTGGGGATGCAGGAGATGTTGAAAGCTCCTTCCTGGACTCAACTTGCGTGCAGATTATGCTCCGGCCATCTGGCAAGCCCCAACCCCCACCCCAATACTGGGACATGCCAAACGGCTGAGCGGGCGAGTAGTATAAGCTCTGAGTTGCACGAAACGCACAAAAACAGCATACATCTGCCAATAAAACTGTCGTAGCATGAATCGGGCAAAAGAGCACTGCAAATCTGCTAATTAAATGGGAGATGCGTGAATCGCGCATTCATCTGCTGAAATGAGCAGCAGGAATCACCAAGCAAGTAAATATAGCAATAATCCGCAAGTGTGTCGTGAAGCTGCTCCTGGGAGTAGAGCCAAGTGCGGAATGCTGGTAGCATGCGACGCGGTAGCGTCAGCCACGTAGGGACGGCGTAGGGAGCGTGCGGGGCAGCGCGAATCATCATGAATCGTACTTTGCGTGAAGCGAAGCGCACAAAAACCAGCCTCCACCAGACAGGCCAGCAGGTCGACCCCGACGGGCAGAGCTTGGAGCAGCTCCTACAAAGAGAGTGATGGCTTTTGCGGGCTTCGTGTATGGCTTTGCTGCAGCTGACAGCTCCAAACCCTGGCAGCCCCCGCGCCGTTTTTGGCGAGGGCCTTTACCGCGCTGCTCTGAATGCACGGCCTGCATGGCATGCAGGACACGAGCTCCGCGGAATGCGACGGAACATGCAAGGAGGGTGCAGGAGTCCAGGAGCCCTGGCCAGTGAGCATCACTGAGCTACGCCGAGCAACGCTCACATCCCGGAGACATCAACGAAGCGTTCCCTGAACTGGCCTGGCGGGTGTCAGGGTTCAATGAAGTCGCATGACCTGCAGCCCAAACAGAACATCAGAAAAAGCGCACGCCGGAAAGGCGTACGTCCGCAACATCTGGCAACATCTGATATTTCTGCGGCCACTCTGTATAATGACATGTCCCTCTCAAAGGAATCTTGCGTCTCTCGACATCACAGTGATACAAAGGAACACGGGAACATGAGGGCGCACGAGGGCATGTGACTACATATGGCCCTGTATGAGAAACCACCGGAGCCTGCCAAAGCTTGCTGCGTGAGCGTCAGCTCTTGCAGAAGGTAGTGTGCCTGAACTCAGGGCAGTGGCTGGACTCAGCAGTTCTTACCCCGAATCGGGAAAAATCGCCCCGCCCAAATTGCTCCCAGCCATTTCAGCACGGGGCCAGGACGCTCTGCCGCTACCTCGTTGGACCTGCTCGGCGACCAGCCTGCGCTTCGGCCGAGACCAAACAACTGGAAAACCCTCGCAAGCCTTAAGCACCCGACTGAAACGACCTGCTACTACCAACCGACAAACCCTACATAAACCCAGGCTCAATGCCATTTCTGCATGTGTGACCGGCATGTCTTCTACAAAACTCGAGCTCATGTCTTCGTGGCCTGTGGTATTCCAGGTTTCAGTTTTGCGCCGCATGCGCCACCCTCATAAGTAGCGGTTGGCTTAAAGATCCCTCGTTTCATGACTGGGTGCGGCGGAGTGCTCACCCCACATCAGCTTTCGACAGCACATGCCCCTGACCAGCGCTCAAGCTCAACGCATGCAAGAGCCGTGTCATGGTTTCAAACCCAAACAGCTCAGGTCCTGACTTATTGAACCACACAGGCTGCACACAGGCACCAACCCATGGGCCTCTGCAGATTCTCGAGCACAGCGAGCTCCTTCCCTGAGCTTTCACAGGACACACCTCCTAGTGATCTAATGCTCGAAACTCTGGTCCATAAAGTTTGGCCCAATGAATGTGTCCCTAGCCCCAGATCCCAAACTGTACCAAGCCTTAACAGGAGCCCTACAGTACTTCTGGCAAAGGTCCGGCCACCTTTGGCAGACAGTGTAAAGAAGAAAACCCAGAGTTGGGGGTATTTGGAAGGAGGCTGCAGGCGGTGTACGAGTACCCACTCAGGGTTTGGGAGTTCCCCCCGTATGCACGTCGTTTGGCCTGGGGAAACCCTACTGTTTTTTGTCAAAAACTGCCAATGTCCCAATGCCAGGTACTTCGTCGCTCCCCACAAATACGGCATCTTCCGACCAGGCGAGTAGGGTCATTCCTGTTCCCGATGCCCGGCACTTGTGGCCCATTAAAGGCCGAACCCTCTCAGGACAACTTGTATATGTACACTGATTAGACTTTATGCTGGGCGCAGCTGTCTCAAGAGCAGCCGTAAGATATCGCATGACGTCGTATGACGTCGTAAGACTTTGATACTCTGCGTGACTTTGCCGATCTGTACAAACGCAGATAGAGGCGCCACACTGAAACGCCATGTGCAGGCCGAGACTTCGTCTGGAACGTGCGCGCGTCCGGTGTGAAGGAAAGCTAACTCGGCTCGCACGCACTTACTCTGGGAGACTAGGTCAAAAAAGGGTCCTATATATAGATGGAAGACGTGGCAGCTGGCACCATGCCGACACAGAGTACTGAAGTGCTTTCAGGCTTGATCGCATGCTATTCTGGATATCCTCTCGTACTGGATCGAGCCGGAACAGTTTGCCATGAAGGCATGCTGCCCTCGGACAGCGCGGCAGTCACAGTGACTGGCATCTGCATCAACGACTCGTAATGACTCGTACAACCTCTGCATGTTCAGTCTCACGGAGTGGTTCAGGTTCACAGTCATGCTCCAGGTTGTTGCACATGCGCCGTGCGAACTTCTCCAGGAATAGTATTCGCTCGACCTGCAGCACCATGTCGGACTGAATCTTACAGTAAGCATTACAGCACGAAGCTGCGAGATTCGGGTGTTATCGACGAATGGGGGCAAGTAGTCGGTGGTGAGCATGACATCAAGGTCAGCCTGGAAGCGCCGAATCGCTTGCCACAAGACTCTATCCTGCATCAGCAGTTTAGACTCCTCAAAGGCCTTGAACAGGCTGTCCTTGTCATGCAGGTCAACGACTCCACCGTTGCACATTGCATCTGTGCCAAGCATCTCCCGCTGCTTCCAGGCGTTGTGGCATGCAAGATGGCATCATGTGACTCCTGCAGGCTCTTCAGGAGGTTCGTACGGACCGCGCTCAGCAGCCTGTCGCTGTTGTTGCAGGCGGTTTTCCGCTGAAGCGCAGCACTGAGCTCAGGCGAGAAGTTCATCGCTGCAAACTCTATTAAAGCTTGATGTGTGAAATGCTGCACAGGCCGGATGAAAGCAACCAGAGAGGTGCGGATCCGTCTCATGGTCAGCTGTGCATAGGAACAGCTTTAGGCACGGCCTGCCGGGCAGCAAAGCTGATGATCTTGCTTTGCACGCTCGCCTTCAACCAAGCACTTTTGCTGCCTGCAAAGCGCTAGTTACCAGCTCCGAGCACACAGAGCTGCACAACTTGAGTTGCCTCCAACTCCACCTTGGCTCACAGCGCCCGCAATGACGAAGCCCTGGGAACGATGCGGCAACACCTACCCTGTCAGCCTCTTAGGGTGTTAAGCGAGTCGATGCCCTGCTTCCTTCTCGAGTTGAGGGGGTTTAGAAGTTTAGGATGGTTTCCGGGCTTGGGCCTTGGGGTGAACAGGGCCCAAGGCTCGAGGCCACCTCCTTTAGGTTTCTTGGAAGCATCGAGGTCAGACTCGATATTCTTGCGCTTCACCCTGTTGCAACGTTTCTCTCTCCGCAGCGTGCGGGGTTTGACAGCAAGCCAAACTTCTAAACAGCTGAGAAAATCCAGACAGTTGTCTGCCCATCTCTGGGCCGCCAGCAGCATAGAAGGCGTCCTTCTGGCTGGGCCGTCGGAGCATCAGGAGCAGCGTGGGGAGCAGGGCCTGGCCAAGCAGAGAGCCCGACCCAGCACAGCATCGTGGACCACGAGCTTCACACCTGTTGCCAGGCAGGGCACGAGGCGATCTCAGGATCCAGAAGCGAAGCCTGCAAGAGGAGAGCTTCCTTTTCGCGCATACACCCTGCCTTCTCTGAGTTCAAACCAGGACCACTCCCCTGTCCCACACCTCCTCGATGCCGTGCAGGGCCAGTGCTGCGAAGGCCTCTGGATCATGGCGCTTGGCCTCCTGCGGGGGCAGGGTGTGACTCTGTTCACTACTTTCATGGACGCCTGTTAAAACGGGCCGGCGCTGGGCTTTTGAGGGGTCGTGACCTCAAAGCTGAACGCAGAATGGGGCGCGCCTGAGGCGTGAACAGCACCGATGGTGGCACTGTTCTCTCTGGCCCCACGGAAGAAATGCCTGATTTTGCACTGTGCGCCAGTGCAGATTGCCAGTACTGCGAGGGTCCTCGAAACACCCCGAGGCTTTGGCCATGCTCCTGCCGGAATGCTGCAACTTGCTTTGCAACGAGCGTCGTCATGGCCCCGGATCGCCACGGACCATGTTTCTGGTTCAATGCAGATCTAGCTAGGCTTGTTGGAACTTGTTGGCTTCTGCGTGTGAGTGTCCATCAGTGTCCACATGTGAAAACGTGACAGCTGCCGGCAAAGAATTGCTTGCTGGCAAGCGCCATATCTCTTAGGGCACTTGTTGGCTTCAAGGGAGCGCAGGGGGGCTTCTCTTGGGCTTGAGGCAATGTTAAGATTCAGCTTCTTGACAAAATGCTGTCCCAGTTTTTCAGCGCACGCACGCGACCAAGAGGTCTTCAAGAAGCTCGATCTGCCTATTCGACGGATCTTGCTGGATGAGGAGCGTTTGCCGTCTGTTCAGGGTGGCAGCAGCATTTCCATCATATTTGCTTGAGGTCGCTAACAGGATCTCAAGCACCGCTTTGAGCTCGTTTTGAGTCTCCGGGTCTTGCCATTCGAAAGGGTGCAGCAACCAGCACATCAAGAAGAGGATCACCTCCTGTAGCTCCCGGTCTTCGAGAGCACGAAAGACATAGCGGATTTGCCTGCAAGATGCCCGCAGGCATTCCTTGCTGGCGGGACGCTTCAAACGATCCATCACCGCTTCGCAGATGAGGCGCTGCACGTCACGACTGGAGCAACGAAAGGAAGACCAAACAGCATGGGACGCAGCGTGCCGTAGTTGATTTTCTTCGCTCTGGGAGAACATCTGCAGCCTGCTCACCGTGTCGCGGATGTCTTGCGCATCCAAACGGAAGGAGCTTTGGCACTCCGGAGCCAGATCTGCTCGGTGTAATTGCTGCAACCACCATTTCTGGCCTTGGATCACAAGATCTTGCCCAACATGCGGAAGACAAAACAAGCGCCTAGGGCCGGTTTCTAGTTTCCTTGCTTGACAGTCAGGCCACAGTCAGCAATCTTGAGCATCTGCTTGTCCATGTCTGCACGTGGGTTACACTGTACTGCATCGTCATCAAGAAGGATCAGCGCGATGGGCCTGTCAGTCTTGACTGGCTTCCATGAAATCAGTCACTGCGCACCATTGTGCAACGGGCCTTTCGAATTTGGGGTAGCCATTCAGCCACGACGAAGACGGCCTGTACTAGAAGCTTCGTCGCGATTCGTTTTGCAGGCATACCTGTAAACATGCATCTGCTGCAATCCCGAGAGCGCCTGTCAAACGCCTGATAGCCAGCAACGAAAGTGGAAGACCTCTCGGACTGCTGTTGGAACTTGGAACCCCCACAAGGCCCCACAACCAGCTGCCCCAACTCCGCCGTGCCTCTGGAAGCCAGCTCCCTCAAGTAGATGTTTCATCACGGCCTTGCACTACCAATCAACCCTTTTCCTTCCGAAGCCTCGGGCCCCTAGCCTTCGCGATATGCTTCGTCTGAGAGGACGTCTGCAACAGATTCAGCAAGTCTGCGACCTCCGCACGGCGCGGCAAGAACTTTCCCTGGGAACTACGAAAGGCTGGTCCATCATGTGCTACATTCGATCCAATGTCTATGCCATGCATGTCTGTGTCGCTGGTGTTGTGAGCTTTGCCCGGGCTCTTGGTCGTTGTCTAGTGGCCTGGCCTTGAGTGACTTGAATTGCTTGTGTTCTTCCATTTGCCCTGAGGCATTGTCTTGCGCCAAGGCATCGATCGAGCATGTCTCTGCCTCGTTCGCCAGTTCGCGTTTCGTGTTCGGGCTTCTCACCATGGCACTTGGCCAAAAAAGAACTCGTCACAAGGTCTCCGAAGCTTCAGGCTGCGTCGAAGTAGCTTCTTGTTGGGTTGGGCGGAGGAAACCCTTTTGACCCCAAACCCCATACCGTCCGGCAAGCCTGGAGGCACTCGTACAAGAGCGGCCTTAGCTGCTCTGTATGCAAATGGAGGGCTTTTAGGATTTGGAGTTGAGCCTTTCGTGACAAATGCCAAAGGTATGCCAGGCGACATCGACAGGGACAGCAGAACTGGGTTCTCCACATCTGTGGCCTTCAGCGCAAACATTTCCCAACGATGGCAATGATCCGTCTACGACCCGCCTCGCCGGAACTTGTAAACAGATATGCGAAGGTCGTCAAGAATGAGATCGCGCCATCTCGGCCCTCGAATTGCTGCTGCACCCAAAACAATCCCAAAACACATCAAAATGTGAGAGCTTGCATCCTAAACACGTTAAACCCTGTCAGCCTCGGCCCACACCCAACGCAAAGATGCTATAGGGGCTTGCCGAGGCGCCCAAACCCAATCTTGCAGACTCGACCTCGCGGCTGTCCAACTGCTCATGCTCCAGAAAGACCGCCAACCCTAAACCTTTGACCTTAAATCCGGAACCTTCAGCCCGAAGCCCCAAACCTGCAATCGCCAATCTAAACAAAAGTCGAAGCCTAAACCCTGCAACCCAGGCCAGAAAGGCAAGCGGCAAGGCAGAGGCTGCAGCACCACTCTCTTCAACGACGCTTAGGTCAGCCGGGAGCTCAGACCTTGGAAAGTTTCCCGCGTTAGGGCTTCGGGCGGTGGGTAAGCTTTCCACATGTCCATGGGGGAGCAACGGGGAGCGTGCGTGGGCTCGTAGATGAAGCCACGCGGCTCTTCACCCGCACGAAGCTCCTCTGTGGGCGCGGTGGCCCCTGCGTGCTCCTGAAAGGCAAGAACCATCAAGAGCCCAAACCCTAAACCTGAAAAACCCTAAACCTTCAGCATCAGCACATCAGCTTTCGGACTACTCCTCGGCTTCAGCTCCAGCATGAGGCCTCGGCGACCCGCGCCCTCATTCGCAGCTCCACACAAGCGTTCAAGCGTTGTGCCAGGCATCAGGCACATCCTCCAAGGGCAAAGGCCCAGCAGCGGCCTGAGAAGCCCCGAACAAGGGTTACAGGGGCTCAAGGCACGCAAGGCAGGCAGGGACAGGAGGCCTCTGCACTGAAGAGCCACTGGAGCCCGGCCTACGATTGCAAGTTGCAAGCATCGGAAAAAACATGACTCATGACACCAGGGGGGGTGGGGGGCCTCCGCATTTTGCGAAAGCCAGGCAATGACATCTCCTGTTCTCACTCTGTGGGTCGCGGGAGTCGTAAGGCAAACATGCGGACTCAGTTTCATCTAGACGAGCTCCTGCGCCCAGAAGCCACATGGTCCACACGCTACACACGGAGCTGTCCGCGCTAAACTGGGCTGCTCTATGCGACTTGTTTGCATGGCCAGGAAGGCGCATCAATCACAACCTTGCCACACAAGTTCGTAAGGTCATGGCTGCAACTCGCATATCGCTGTTGGTAGTAGACGGTTTTTGCACATGCCACGACTCAAAGCCAAGCAGCTGCAGCCCACATGCTGGAGCAAAAGGCCATGCTGCTGAAACGCTCGTCCACAAGCCCACCCAACCCTAAACTCGAAACCTGGAACCCTACATCAGGCTCCCCAAACTGGATCCGAGCGCGCGCCGCGATCCTGAGCACTGAGCACATGACCATCACCTCCTGGTAGACCTCCCCCGCCCGAATACCGCCGTAACCCCGCCAGGCAGGTTTGTTCTAACTAACTGTTAGCACTCAAGTGCATGACTGCAAAACCTCAAGTGTAGGAGATTCAACCCAGAGCACACGGGGCACGCGCTTCTGGCGCACCACTCATAAATCTAAACAGAAAGGCTAGTAAATCACCAGCCCCGCACCTGAAACAAAACTATGTGCAAACGGGATCACATGCTGGAAGCTGAAGTGTCCGACAGCATGCATAACGATCCCCACGGAGTGGCCCCCATCACAGAATGTGACAATGACGACACAGTCGGTCCTGGCACAAGGGCACTGTAGTGTTTGGGGGCAAAAATTTGGCTCAGTGTTTACATGTGTTTTACGATTTTTAGCACGCGTAGAACACATGGGCTAACGGTCCCATGCATCAACCTGCGACAGAAGCCAATCGGCTATGGCCAGCGCCTTGTCAGCCGGCTCAGGTTCGGAGTGGCCAATCAACTTGACCTGAGAAAACCAGCAGGCGCCACGCAACATGCATCATCCGTGCTGAGTGCCCGCCTGGCGGCGCCCCAAACTCAGCGTGGCATAAAAACCCCCGGGAACGGACGGCTGAAAAGCCACCTGCGAGCACTGAGCGTCCGGGCTTAGCATTAGCTTCCTCAAGATACGATCCGAATTCCGAAGCTTTCGGCACCTTTCGTTTGCATGTCTCTACTCTAGGTCAAAGGGCAGAAGGGATTTCCCTCAAAACAGCAGAGACAAAGAATACCGGGAAATATGCTGCACCCAAGCAAAGAAACTGATGAAACAGAGGTTTGGCCCAGTTAGAAACTCCTTGCATCCTTCAGGAAAAACCCAGGGCTGGTGGAGATGAGGTCTGGAGCTTCTTCCGTCTACATCCGTCTACAAAATACGCCTAGCTGCACCTCCTTTCATAGACCTCGATATGGGACCCTTGCGGCAACTTGCTGTTCATGTTTCTGGCTGCGGTGGTCTCCGGCACTGCCCACCCGCGGCGTCGCCCCATTGCATGTCACTTTCTCGTTCGGAGCTTGAATGCCCCCGAGTCTAACTAACTGTTACGAGTTGCGCCTACTCAAGTGTATGACTGGAAAAACTCAAGTGTAGGATATTCAACCCAGAGCACCCGGCGAAGGCCCCAAGTAGAATTTCTGGTCTGAACGCCGAGGCATTGTGGTTGTTTTTCGCACAACAGGCGCTGATTGGGGTCTGCACTTCACCGGAGAGCACCCGGCTGCAAGCCTTCGCCCAAATCGCCTTGAAACTCACGAATTCGATCAGCCAAGCTTTGCGTAAAGAGAGACGAAAAATTGATTTCGGCCTCAGACCTGCTAATCAGCTTAAAAGTGCAAGGCGGGGAAACGCTTGATCAATAACCGGGTGACGAACGAGTCTGAAAAACGAGTCGAAAACGGGATGGACCGAGCGCCTGCAGCAGAAAACTGCGGGGGCACGAGTCAGAGAACAGGACAGTGAATCAGAAAATGGGCGGAAACAGGAATACACTCAATAGCCCTAGATCCTTCAACCTTGAGACCCTGAAACGAAGATATACAGTATATGCATATATATATATATGCATAAAGATACGTGGGAGACGTGTTCAAGCACAACATGTGTGGAAAGGCACAACACCGCCCTGGCACACGGCATTCTAAAAAGGCACTCCATATGACGAAAAGCACAACACTGAGAGCAGGTTCAAAGCCAACAGTCAGGAATGTGAAGCTTCGTGTGTGCCTGCATGCGCCTGCGGGCTGGGCAACGGAAGTCCCGCCCATGCATGTGGTCGGGGACTGCTTACTAGGTGTCGGGCGTTTTGATATTTTTTTTTGGGGAAGGGGGGCCTTGCTTCGCGGCGATCTGAGCGACCGCCACATCTTTCCATGAATTTGCATCAGCAACCTGCACACTCCGTCGCCCGCCCACCGACATTCCCAGCACCCAACTCCCGACAGCACAAGCACATGGCCCCTCACTCGTCCTTCCGCGCACGCAACCCTTTGCGACGCAGCATATAGACATAATATGGACATATACATGATAGAGATCTGGAGATATAGAGATAGAGTCTCTATGGTTGCGCGCTGTGCGTTCGTTTTTTCCCCGGCCCCTCAGGGTACCCGTCCCCTCCCCACTAAACCCTAAGCCCCAAACCTTTTTTGCATTCACCCAGGCCCCTTGAACCTAAACCCTAAAAAAACCCTATTACTGTAAATTATAACGCCTAAACCTTGGAACCCCAGAACCCTGAAGACCCTAAGCCCCAAACCCTAAAACCCTAAACGCCCTAAACCCTAAAACGCCCTAAGCCCTAAGAGCGTAACTCCAAAAACCTTAAGGCCTAAACCCTACAAACCCTAAAGCTCTAAAAGCCTAAACCCAAAAACATCCTAAAACCAAACCACACACACACACACTTAACAGAGGGGGGGGAGGCGGGGGTGCGGGCTTTTCTGTTTTCGACTCCACGTTTTCCGACTCGACCCTCACACCACAAGCTGCGAATGCGCAGTATGAGGAGCTGGCAGTCACAACATCGGGCCCGCGGGCCTGCCACAACTACCACGCGATGGAAGCAATTCACCAAAACTCGGCGTGGACGCAGCCTTGATCGAGAACTCCCGGTCGCCTTGCAGCGACACGCCGATTGGACTCCTGAGTCATTGTCACCCAATGTCACCCAGTTGAAGCGGAGTTCTTCGACATTCTCAGGCGAAACAGGTGCCTCACAGGGAAGGCACGCTCTGCGGGGTTGAAGCGGCGCCCACTGTACCTGTCAATTAGACGGCCACAAGCAGAAAAGAGACGAAGTCACTGAGGAAAGAAGCGGTGGAAAACAATTGGCTGGAGCAAGGTGAGCTAGGCAGCTTGGCCATGAACAGACCGAGGAGGTCAACGTCTTGCCCATCTTCCCACAACTAGCTGGAAGCTCGACGTGATTGAAATGAAGCGCCTTGTGCCCGCGTGCCCTTGAGCCCAGCTTCTTCGAGGCTCTGCCACACGTGGTTGCAGCAGTGCTACAGCTTGGGATCTTAGGCTTCATGCTTTCAGGTTCAGGATAAGCAAGCCGCTTGCCGAGACGCTGAGCAGTCAAGGAACCACCAGCCCTGAGAACGCGAAACTCCAAGCTCAGTTGGCGCACGTTGCCACAAAGACGACGACCTGCTGACCACTCACGCATGAAGAACAGCTTTTTACGAATAATGCTGACCAGACTGCCTCGGTCGGCTCCATGGCGGATCTTCCGGCGTCTACCCTCCAGGTGGCGCACTTGAACCAAGAAGCAGCGCGACGATCAGCACTCGGAGCCTTCAAAACTTCAACAGAAGACTTTAGGAGTTCATCTTCCCAGGGCTCAAAGCGCCATATCTCTTAGGGCACTTGTTGGCTTCAAGGGAGCGCAGGGGGGCTTCTCTTGGGCTTGAGGCAATGTTAAGATTCAGCTTCTTGACAAAATGCTGTCCCAGTTTTTCAGCGCACGCACGCGACCAAGAGGTCTTCAAGAAGCTCGATCTGCCTATTCGACGGATCTTGCTGGATGAGGAGCGTTTGCCGTCTGTTCAGGGTGGCAGCAGCATTTCCATCATATTTGCTTGAGGTCGCTAACAGGATCTCAAGCACCGCTTTGAGCTCGTTTTGAGTCTCCGGGTCTTGCCATTCGAAAGGGTGCAGCAACCAGCACATCAAGAAGAGGATCACCTCCTGTAGCTCCCGGTCTTCGAGAGCACGAAAGACATAGCGGATTTGCCTGCAAGATGCCCGCAGGCATTCCTTGCTGGCGGGACGCTTCAAACGATCCATCACCGCTTCGCAGATGAGGCGCTGCACGTCACGACTGGAGCAACGAAAGGAAGACCAAACAGCATGGGACGCAGCGTGCCGTAGTTGATTTTCTTCGCTCTGGGAGAACATCTGCAGCCTGCTCACCGTGTCGCGGATGTCTTGCGCATCCAAACGGAAGGAGCTTTGGCACTCCGGAGCCAGATCTGCTCGGTGTAATTGCTGCAACCACCATTTCTGGCCTTGGATCACAAGATCTTGCCCAACATGCGGAAGACAAAACAAGTGCCTAGGGCCGGTTTCTAGTTTCCTTGCTTGACAGTCAGGCCACAGTCAGCAATCTTGAGCATCTGCTTGTCCATGTCTGCACGTGGGTTACACTGTACTGCATCGTCATCAAGAAGGATCAGCGCGATGGGCCTGTCAGTCTTGACTGGCCTCCATGAAATCAGTCACTGCGCACCATTGTGCAACGGGCCTTTCGAATTTGGGGTAGCCATTCAGCCACGACGAAGACGGCCTGTACTAGAAGCTTCGTCGCGATTCGTCTTGCAGGCATACCTGTAAATGCGGGAAACATGCATCTGCTGCAATCTCGAGAGCGCCTGTCAAACGCCTGATAGCCAGCAACGAAAGTGGAAGACCTCTCGGACTGCTGTTGGAACTTGGAACCCCCACAAGGCCCCACAACCAGCTGCCCCAACTCCGCCGTGCCTCTGGAAGCCAGCTCCCTCAAGTAGATGTTTCATCACGGCCTTGCACTACCAATCAACCCCAATCAACCCTTTTCCTTCCGAAGCCTCGGGCCCCTAGCCTTCGCGATATGCTTCGTCTGAGAGGACGTCTGCAACAGATTCAGCAAGTCTGCGACCTCCGCACGGCGCGGCAAGAACTTTCCCTGGGAACTACGAAAGGCTGGTCCATCATGTGCTACATTCGATCCAATGTCTATGCCATGCATGTCTGTGTCGCTGGTGTTGTGAGCTTTGCCCGGGCTCTTGGTCGTTGTCTAGTGGCCTGGCCTTGAGTGACTTGAATTGCTTGTGTTCTTCCATTTGCCCTGAGGCATTGTCTTGCGCCAAGGCATCGATCGAGCATGTCTCTGCCTCGTTCGCCAGTTCGCGTTTCGTGTTCGGGCTTCTCACCATGGCACTTGGCCAAAAAAGAACTCGTCACAAGGTCTCCGAAGCTTCAGGCTGCGTCGAAGTAGCTTCTTGTTGGGTTGGGCGGAGGAAACCCTTTTGACCCCAAACCCCATACCGTCCGGCAAGCCTGGAGGCACTCGTACAAGAGCGGCCTTAGCTGCTCTGTATGCAAATGGAGGGCTTTTAGGATTTGGAGTTGAGCCTTTCGTGACAAATGCCAAAGGTATGCCAGGCGACATCGACAGGGACAGCAGAACTGGGTTCTCCACATCTGTGGCCTTCAGCGCAAACATTTCCCAACGATGGCAATGATCCGTCTACGACCCGCCTCGCCGGAACTTGTAAAAAGATATGCGAAGGTCGTCAAGAATGAGATCGCGCCATCTCGGCCCTCGAATTGCTGCTGCACCCAAAACAATCCCAAAACACATCAAAATGTGAGAGCTTGCATCCTAAACACGTTAAACCCTGTCAGCCTCGGCCCACACCCAACGCAAAGATGCTATAGGGGCTTGCCGAGGCGCCCAAACCCAATCTTGCAGACTCGACCTCGCGGCTGTCCAACTGCTCATGCTCCAGAAAGACCGCCAACCCTAAACCTTTGACCTTAAATCCGGAACCTTCAGCCCGAAGCCCCAAACCTGCAATCGCCAATCTAAAAAAAAGTCGAAGCCTAAACCCTGCAACCCAGGCCAGAAAGGCAAGCGGCAAGGCAGAGGCTGCAGCACCACTCTCTTCAACGACGCTTAGGTCAGCCGGGAGCTCAGACCTTGGAAAGTTTCCCGCGTTAGGGCTTCGGGCGGTGGGTAAGCTTTCCACATGTCCATGGGGGAGCAACGGGGAGCGTGCGTGGGCTCGTAGATGAAGCCACGCGGCTCTTCACCCGCACGAAGCTCCTCTGTGGGCTCGGTGGCCCCTGCGTGCTCCTGAAAGGCAAGAACCATCAAGAGCCCAAACCCTAAACCTGAAAAACCCTAAACCTTCAGCATCAGCACATCAGCTTTCGGACTACTCCTCGGCTTCAGCTCCAGAATGAGGCCTCGGCGACCCGCGCCCTCATTCGCAGCTCCACACAAGCGTTCAAGCGTTGTGCCAGGCATCAGGCACATCCTCCAAGGCCAAAGGCCCAGCAGCGGCCTGAGAAGCCCCGAACAAGGGTTACAGGGGCTCAGGCCACGCAAGGCAGGCAGGGACAGGAGGCCTCTGCACTGAAGAGCCACTGGAGCCCGGCCTACGATTGCAAGTTGCAAGCATCGGAAAAAACATGACTCATGACACCAGGGGGGGGTGGGGGGCCTCCGCATTTTGCGAAAGCCAGGCAATGACATCTCCTGCTCTCACTCTGTGGGTCGCGGGAGTCGTAAGGCAAACATGCGGACTCAGTTTCTATCTAGACGAGCTCCTGCGCCCAGAAGCCACATGGTCCACACGCTACACACGGAGCTGTCCGCGCTAAACTGGGCTGCTCTATGCGACTTGTTTGCATGGCCAGGAAGGCGCATCAATCACAACCTTGCCACACAAGTTCGTAAGGTCATGGCTGCAACTCGCATATCGCTGTTGGTAGTAGACGGTTTTTGCACATGCCACGACTCAAAGCCAAGCAGCTGCAGCTTGCATGCTGGAGCAAAAGGCCATGCAATCCCCCCACGTGAGCCCCCACCGCATATCGCCTCGTGACTGCAACATATAGGTTGGGGGGGGCGCGCGCCCCCCCCCCCCCCCCCCCCCCCGCGACACCTGAAATCCCCGAGCTATCAGGGACGAAGGAAGGTTGTCAACAAAAATTCCCGCAAACTCCAAAGGAGCTAGCTTTCGTAACATATGCCGTATATGTGCTTTTTTGAGACATGCCCACATCTGCATGATGCATGTCTGTAAGAACAAATATCAACATCACAGGCACATGCACACGCACACTCGGAGACACACAAGAACACGTACACGTATGTGGGATATGTGCGGTGCAAGGAAGCAGATGGCACGAGCGGGGCAAGCAGAGAGGGTGTAGCCAGCTGAGGGGGCCAGAATGAGGGGGTAAGTTGCTAGCTCATTTTCAAACGAGGGTGCGTGCCTGCAGCTGGCAAGTGACGCTGTTGTCAAGGGTCAGCTTGGGACATAAAGCAAATTCACGGTGGTTTCCGCCCTCTGGGCCACATAGCGCACGAAACGAGATTTAAGCCGTGGCTGACTCATCCTATGCCTTTGGCGGGCGAAGCGAAAGGGGGGAAGGAGCGGGAGGGGGGGGAGGGGGGCACACAAGCTTAGAACGTTTCTCTGACTCCGACGCCTGCTTTCATACGTGTTGTGCCGAGTCTTGAGGGTTTAGGGTTGAGGGTTTGGAGTGTAGGTTTCAGCTTTGCGGTACCACCACATCTTCCTAGTTTGAGTGTTTTAGGTTTTGCGTTGAGTCTTGAGATTTTAGGATTGAGGTTTGGAGTGTAGGTTTGCACGCATGACAACAGAAAGACCACTTACTCATGCGCCTGTTTGTCTTGTTTTGTTACAATACGAGATGGATCTGCCATTCTTCGTCCGCCTGTATTGCGATGAGCTTTTCGCACATTGATGCAATCGAAAAACAGCAAATTCATCGAGTTTTTGAAGGTTCCTGTCAAGACACTAGCAAGTCTTCGTACTCATGCGCCTGTTTGTCTTGGATTTTACAATGCGACATGGTCCTGTCATTTTTCGTGCGCCTGTGTTGCGATGGGCTTTTGCACATGAAGCAACTGGCAACAGAAAGCAGCAAATTCTCGAGTTGTCGAGGGTTGCCGAGTGTGAACGACCACGGACATGTAAAACAAAGACACAGGACGCTCGCGTGTACCAGCTTTGGACAGCGCTGCTAAACAGCGTTCCGGGGACTCCTCGAGCGAAAACGCAATTTTGACGGAAAAGCTGTTTTTACATTGCGATAAACCGTCGCCGACATCTGTTTTGTACAGCGCTTGCCAAAACAAAACGCTGGCCCTTGCAGGCTCGCTTTCCAAAATGCTATTCAAGAACGACATCGAGTGACCGCTGCCTCGAAGAATGTTTTCGCACTGCGTTCGACCGACACTTGCCTCGTACAGTAGTCATATGATGAGTCTACGCAGCATTGCAACTGCGCAAGGGCTCTCCAAAACAGTCTTTTGGCTCCGGTGCACGCTGCTGGCAGTGAGCCGCGCTGGCTCAGAAGGTGGCATTAGCACGTGAGGGTCCCAGCAATATGGAGCCTTTGGGACTTTGGGCGCCACTGGAACTCAGCACAAAGGGATTCGAAGCAGCCAAGCAAAGGACAAGAGCGGTTAATCCCTGCACTTT